AGAAAATTCATTATTCATCTATGAATAAATTTCGTTGTAGTAAAAATAGATGTAAAATGTTGAATTAAAAATGTAAATTGGGTGAATATGGTTGAATCAAACTCTTGAGATGTTGTTTACAACAATGATGAAAGATTGACAATCCAGTAATTTAATCCAGAAAAAAACATCACAAAACACCCAACTAATGATCGCACAATAATCATTTGGATACTTCATTGTTTTTGATTGATACTAGTAAAACTGTTCATTAGTGATTATGTTACAGAACAATGATTAACAAACAATTTCCGGATATTTTCCAGAATAAGTGGATTGTAGTTAGCGGTAGAATTCACGATCAGCATTTCGTTCTTTTTGAGACTTACCAGCTTGAGTTGTCTACATCCCATTGTTGAAGTGACTCGAACAAGGATTGAAAAGTAGTTAGTCCTAAATATTAACGGATAAATAAACCAAACTTCTATTCATAGTGTAACGTTTTAAAAAAAAATTAGATTTCACGGATGTAGATGGTGTTGGGTAGTAAGACTGTAGAAATGTGAAAGGTTAATAAAAAACATTAATACGAGTAGACAAACTGAATTCTTGTCTACTAATAAGTAAGGAATTTACATTGAGGTTGTTGTGGATATTATAGTAATTTCAGTAGTTGAGATCATGAATCAATTGAAGCGAGACCACTAGGGAAAACCTGGAAGCACTGAACGGCTGTTTCGTCCTATTGTGGGACTTCTCAGCAATGCGCGTCCACAATTCAGCCTCAAGTGATTCGAACCCAAGAGCTATCAGTTTCGCACACTAGCGCCTCACATCTAAACCACTTAGCCGGCATTCAACGGTGAATATGTGTTGATTTCTACAGCCATAATGAATCATTTTCTTTTGAAACAATTAAAATGATATGTTTTTGCACTATAAATACCATGCTATTATCATTTCAAATCTATTTCTATATTCACCTATTAAAATCTCTTATTAGCACTATTTAGTCTAAGTATAAAAGTGATACATTTTTATAAGTTTTCATCTGTCTTACATTATAAAATAAAATGATTTAGATTGTCTAAAAGAATCACAACTGATTGATCACTGAGTGGTGGTCAATGCCATGCATGCCAAGCCCTTCTTAGTGCTAATCGAATGCTATCGATGAAGCTGCAATGTGGCCACTAGTCTAGGTGGCTCAACACTGCGTGCAGTATGTTGAGATAAGATGGTGGTTGGAGGTGGTCAACAGGAAACCCTGGACCCGGATTGCTGACGAGTGCCAAGTGACACGAAACCCGGGTCTAGGGTTTCCTGTTGACCACCTCCAACCGCCATCTTATTGTCTAATATAATATTTGATAACTTGTAATTCGTTTAAAGTATCATTCTCATAGGTCTTATTCAATAAATTAATCTTTTGAAAATAATAGCCTTTCTTTGTGTTATTTTGTGTTTTGTTCGAACAAAACATTCAGGAAGCGTATATTTTTTACAAGATCTTTTCTCCTTTCCTTTCTTCCTTAACTTAATGTCTTCAGATTTTTCTAATTCCATTGAGAAATATTTACAGTATGAAAAAAACGAATAAAAGTCTTTGACTTATTAAAGTAGATCATGATAGGCTCTATAACTTTAGTTGTTCAATACATACTGTAGATCTAGTAAGCTTATTGTTCTAACCAAAAACTAAAATGTCAATGTTTAGTGAAGATAAACCTTCACATTAAAAAATGAGCATAATTACAATATTATGTAAATACTACAATTGTAGTGAACGAGAATATAAGTGAAGATCATCGAATGTATTCGAACACAAAGTTACAGAATATCTTAGTACAATCTGAGAATCATACAATAAACACTTTATTTGCGAAATGTTAATCGATTGTATCAGACTCCATTGTTCTTTCGATTCCACACAAATCATTGTTTGTTCTCGTTCTCTTTTCTTCAATCTTCTTAACCTTCTTCCTCCAGATATTTCACTTTTGATTGATGATATATATTACTGATATCTGTCTAGTTCAGTAGCACATACCACCGAATCATCAACTCCAAATCTTCATAATACAAAAGATATAAAACAGTCGATATACTTAAATGACCAGTTTATCTATTTTTTAGCGCTTTATATTTAGTATTTATTAGGAAGTAGAGGCCTTATGATTTTGGATATTATACGTTAATTAATAGTGATATTACTGAATTTTGAAATGTTTATTTGAAATGTACAACAAAACATGAGTAAAGTTGATATAGAATGTGAATCACATAGATTTTGACTTTTGTATTACTTATTATAAGAACTATGAGCTTATTACTTTAGTCTGCAATTAAATGCACCGTTAATTTTACTGTGGTGTGTGCTACTGATGTCGACAGATAGAAGTAGTATGAATCATCAATCAAAAGTGAAATACCTGGTGGCAGAAAGTTAAGAAGATTGAAGAAAAGAGGACGATAACAAACAATGATTGGTGTGAAAACGAAGGAACAATGAAGTCTGAGACGATTGACTGATATTTGCAAAAGGAACAGTGAAGATGAGAAAGTCGATTAACATTTTGAAAATAAAGTGTTTATTGTATGATTCTCAGATTTTACTTAGATATTCTGTAACTTTGTATTCGAATACATTCGATTTTGTACATTTGAGTTCTCGTTCACTACAATGTTTGATGTAGTTGTATGGTTTTTATCGTGATTTACTTTAGTTGAATATTCCATTTCATAATTAGCCTAGAAAACATTATCGATGGAAAATTAGTCTTTTTAAAACTGAAGACTCTGCCTAAAATGAAAACGTTTACTTCTTAATATAATCTAAGGACCATGAGAAAGTAACGTGTTAAAATGAACATAGCTATAAACGTTTTACTTAACAAAACAGTCGGTAGGATGAAACTATGATCACAAGTGTACATTTATGCATCGTAAACTTAAATCCTTGTGAATAACTTGATAAGATCTAGATTAAGTGCTAATTCCCATAGCTTTGTCTCATAAATAAGCATATATTTGAAGATGACGGAATAGTTGTTGTTTCTATATTTAAATTGGGCCTTGCAGTGACATGTATTTTCTCCTCATCTGTGACTCGACTCAGGAAATACACCTCCATTCCAATATTAGTTTTTGCAATGAGACTTGAACACAGACTATACATCATCGAATACCAACGCATTATTCTTCAAGCTAATGTGTCCTTCTAGCCATTAAGTTATTTAACAGGTATGAAGTTCTTTTTTTGTAATGGTCTGTGTTAACTCGCTGACATACAGGACAGAGATTCCATTAGTTTTGTTGGAGCCTATACATCACATGCGAATCCCTTATCGAGGGACATACACTAAGATAGATTGAAAAATATGGTGCTTTGAATGCTTTTCATGATTTTAACTATGAGCGTTTAATATTCCTATAAGCTTGATGTTGTGTAAATGAAGAGGAAAAATATGATAACGTTTATCTTGAAATAATCACCGGATGTGCCGTCTAGAGATGAAATTCGGTCATAATAAGAACTTTTAAGCTAAGTGTAGCTGTATTCAAAGGGTTAGTTTATTTTTAGTTAGGTATTAAGGGAAAACGTTCTCTGAAAAAATCTCCAGAGTACTATTCACCAGTGTTAGTAAGGAAATAAAAGTACATTCTCTGTTTAGCAGCTGCGCTTTGTTATGCAGAATATCAGTTTCTTGCTCCTCTTAGGGGAACTTGCCATAAGAAAAATATAAAAACAAGAAATAATATAATGCTATGAACGATGGATGTTAACAAAAAATCTCTTATCTTTGTTTCATGGGAGTTAAGTCATACCAATACAACATCCATTTTGAGAAAAATGTCTGTCCAAATGAGGTTTACACATGATACTGGTTGTCAATAGGTAAGGAAACTTTCAAGTTCTAAATCAGATTAGTATCGGTTCGGAAGGCTGTGACTAAACGATGTGAGCTTTGATCTTCAAGATAGAGTCCATTTCTATTAGGATGTATGAGTGAAACTTAGTACGGGAACTAGGTCTTGGGCTTTCTGCTGATATTTTTCAAAAAGCAATTGCCTGAAAAATAAATTTTTGAATAAATGCTGTCGTCTCTTTTAATTTGAATGATTTTAAATCAAGGAAATATTTTATTGAATACGAGCTATAGTATTTGGATGTAATAATTTGAATATATCCACTTTATTTTTAGTTGACATCACGGACTGATCTTATTTAATCGACCAAAGAAAACCAGGAGTACCTCATTTCTGCTTAGGATAAGTGACAGACTATCGTCTTTTCAGCCACTTATGAACGACTTTTAGAGATAAGTAGTTGTTTGTGATAGCACAATCAAAAGACTAAGTTTATCTACAAATTCCCGCAAATTTGTGTGGACAATTTTGTGAATACTAAAAACAAGCATAAAGCTACCATGTTATTGTAATCCTCAATGCATAAACAGTAATATGTTTGTTTCAAATTGTAGGATCAATGGCTAAAGGAGATCTTTATTTAAGTAGGTCAAATGCTTTACAACAAATCGTTCGAACGAACAAATGTAGCTATATGTTTAGGAAAACAACTATAACATCATATCGTTCGATGGATACTAAAGTGAATTCATTTCAATCAAAAAATCACTGTGGTAACTTCTGTTTCATCTTGTAACTCTTAAATAATAACGGACAATTCACAGACACTACAAATCGATGTAGTTATGTGATCAGTTTTAAACGAGCTAAATTTATCCTCAAAGTCTGCCATCGCTTTAAAAATCAATTAGTTGTATACACTGTTCAATGCTTGACAGTGTTATTAAGTGTGATAATTAGTGTACAATGCTACACCATGTATTTAAAATCAAATATTCTCAATCAACGAAACCCATATTTGATATAATGATCCTCAATTTAATTTTTTTTATTATCGGCAACTATTTTGTTTTCAAAGTACAGTTGATTAGAGTACACTACATACATAACTTTGATTAATTTTATTTTAGAAAAAAACGCACATTTTCAGAATGCTTCAATTCTATTTTGGATTATATGGATTAGCCCTCTTTTTATGTTTCCTTGGGTTTTTGTATGCTTTAATTGAAAAAGCATACAAATGGTTAACAAGTAATGTGAAGAAATCTCATTTACCAAACTATTCCGAAGTCATTTCATCCTGCTCAAATCAGAATGGCATAACTCATAAAAAGGTTCCAAGTATCGTTGAGAAGGTAGAACCAAACAATTTGATGGATGCAGTAAAAGTCAGTGAAAACTCTGAAAGTAAGTTGATTAGCATTTTTGTTTGTGGTTTAAGCAGGCTACCCATTAATCATGTTCTAAGTATCTAAATAGTCACATGCGTCTTACAGGTAAGTATCGCTTGAATGTGCATTAATTACCGGGTTTATTAACCCATTTTTGTTTATAAATAAGTGAAACATTATTTCAATGTGACATTAAAGAAGGAGAATATATTTGCAAAATCTCAAAGAATTAAACATGTTTGACTATATTTTCTTGAAAAAGCTTGGATCAGATTGTCAGGTCAAATGTTGGATTTACTTCAAATTCATTCATTGAGATTTTACAATTACATTCTTCCTTTTTAATGTCTCACATCAACTCGGCGCTCAAATACTGTAAAACTATTTGATCAAATTTAGACGAAAGTTCTTCTTTTACTTCAGTGTATGAAATCATATAAACTAATATTGTTTTCTTATTAAATTTCGTGGATCGGTTGAAGTTAGACATTAACACCGTTGGATGCCGGCCAGCTCTGTGATCTAGTGGTTAAGCGCTCGCGCGTGAATATGATAGGTCGTGGGTTTTAATCTTAAGAGGCGAATTCGTGAATGCGCATTGCTGAGGAGTCCCATAATAGGACTAAACGACCGTCAAGCAGTGCTTCCAAGTTTTCCATGGTGATCTAGCTTCAATTGACTGATGATTTCAACTATCGAAATATAAATTTGTTTTGTAATTAACTGAAAAGTACCAATAACTAATGAAAATAATAACAACAAGGGCATAAAAACAACTAATGTAAACAAACTAAATATATTGCCGGGATTAGAAAAAAAAGTAAAACGTTGTTTTGTTTATAAAAAGTACCGAGTGTCAATTACTTCCTCATCAAAATAAGGTGATCTGAATTATTTTTTATTTATTAGTGAATAGTTTGTTTGTAATTAGTTAAGATTTTGTCCAACATAACTCTTTTTCTTTCATTCTGATGGTCTACAGTGATGCTTCTTTAATAATAAACATGTATAGGAAATCATTGATGAGATGTGTGATATAGATATATTATTTCATTTAGTTTTCGTCAGTGGTTATAACTCGATACTCATTTAGGTAAGCAGAATTACTGAATTACTTTGTATTTTAGGACTGTGGATGCGCAATGCTGAGGAGTCCCATACTAGGACGAAACGGCCGTTCGGTGCTTCTAGGTTTTTCATAATAGTTTAACTTTAATTGACTCATCAACTCAACTATTAAATAAACTAAACTTTTAAGATCATGATGTGGTTTTTGGATTTACTGTGCGCTCTGAACTAGATGATGTAATCATAATTCTTCTAACTTCTCATAATACAAAATAAGAAATTAATCAACGATGGATAGTGACTAGCAGTAGAATCCAGGACGCGCGTCTCGTCCTATTTGAGACTCATCAGCTGGATGTACCTGCATCTCAGAGTTGATGTTCACTCTGAAACTCGAACCCAGTACCTTTCGCTTCAAACGTCATGGCGGTATCCATTCGGCCACTAAGTCCTGATAGCTATTTGCTTGTGCAATGAGGTGAAGTTTAAATTCACTTAGTATTGTTTGTTTGAATCTTCCCATTGATGTGTTAGGACTGCAACTGGTCAATGCAAAATAAGAATATTTGCATACTGTGCGTGTTGACTAGTCCCGAATAGGACGAAACGCGCGTCCTGGATTCTATTGCTAGCCACTATCCATCTTTGCTTACCATGCTTGTGAATTTAGGCTATATGGAGGCAATAAGCACAGTATGCACATATGCCAATTAGAGACTGATCAGTTGCAGTCTTAACACATCGATGGGAAGATTAAAACAAACAATACTAAGTGAATATAAGAAATTAATATCTAGAAAATTAATTAATGAACTATTCAAGTGGGTAACATAGTAACTTCAAAATGCCTTTACCTAAGCAACACATATTCATCACTTCATTACAAAATGTATTTGAATATGTTCATTATAGTTTCCCTTTTATCGACTACTTATTTATAACGATCATACATGAAATGTTATCTTATAGGTAATGCTATTTTATCATTAGGTAATTACTTTTTTTCATGTTGACCTTATTATGATGTAACTAAGATTGTATAATCAACATTCACTAAAGGGTTAACATTGTAATTTTCTTCTACTTCATCATTAGGACATGACTTAGATAGGTTAGTTTTATTTTTTTGTTCAATTCCAAAATGTGTTATATTTGAGGAAAAAGAAAAAAAAACCAAACCAATCATTGAATGTTGATTGTAAAAAGAAGTTCATTTGAATTAGGTTGTTATATAAAAAAGGTACGACATTCCTGTTCCTTTCAAAATAATAAAAAAAGGAGGTCAATTTAAAAAGTAAACAGCAGTTGTTTAAATTTTCTAAGGACATAACATTGACATAAGTAAATATGGGTAACTGATTTAAATCAGTATAAATAGTTATGAAAATAAAGAAATAGTTTATTGGCTTACAAAATAATCTTATATAAAAGATTAAAATAAGTAGTCAGTTGCGATCAGTCAAACAAGAATAGATTATTGGGAGAGTTATATAGTTCTATATCAATCAGACAATTAAAGAATAAACGATCGTTTTCTATTCTTGAATTGTATTCCACTTTACAATATATCCCATACTTACATTGAACGGAGATAATCAAAGAATATACCTATATCTAATATAAGCAATAGTACTGATGATTTACAAACTCATATACATATTACTAATATTTGATTACATTCACCTTAGGTTCATATAATCCAGAGAACAATGAAAATCAACTACAAGATTCAGATATTAGTACACCAACTGAAGAAATGAAAACAATAATGATGAATAAAAAATACATTGATAATAATCATGATCAAAATCATTCTAAATTAGATACATCATTAAAATCTTTCTCTGAACGTCGACAAGAACGTCGTAAACGATATAAAGCTAAAAAAGGTCAAAATTCATCATTTGGTTGTTATTCAATGAATTCTTCTATAGATGAATATGATAATGGAAATATATTTCTGGAAGATTCAGATGAAACAACAAATATTAACAATTGTTCAGTGTTATCAGATAGTAATGATTCACAACCGGATTATTTTATATTGGAAACACATAATATGTGTGAATTAAGAAATTCAATACAAATAACTAATTTAGATGATAATGAAACTGATAATCTTAATCATAATGATATGAATACGATGGATAAAACGGATTCTTTAGATGTAAGAGTTATTTCATATTGTTTCGTATTACACATATATGTATGTTGATTTTCTTTTTGCTGAATAATATTTCTGGAAGTTCTATGAGTCTGGTTATATCAGTAATGCTCCATGAGGTATTTCCTGGAGATTTAGTGAGAAGCAGTAACCAGTGGAGTTCAACCAGGTCTGTTGGGAGATATCAACTCATTGATGACATTGGTCAAATGGTTGATCAAATTTGTGGATTCGTTGAAGCTAAAAATTAACGCCGTTGGATGCCGGACAGCTCAGTGGTCCATCGGTCAAGTGCTCTGACGCGAGACCGATTGGTCCTGGGCTCGAATCTCACGAGTGGGGATCGTGGATGCGCACCGCTGAGGAGTCCCACAATAGGACGAAACGGCCATCAAGCAGTGCCTCCAGGTTTTCGATGGTGGTCTAGCTTCAGTTGACTCATGATTTCAAGTATATATAAAAGTAATATATTTGTAATATCCCAATAAGTAGAAAAATTAGATTTTCTGACGTTTCGTGACTTCTCTGAAGAGATGACTTACACTGAGTCACGAAATGTCAGAAAATCCAATCTTTCTACTCATTGAGATATTACAAATATATTATTTTATTTGTAACGATCTACCCAATGCTCAATTTATTCAAAATTACCAAATCAAAACTTAGTAATGATACCTATAAATGCTTGTTTTAGCTTAAGACATGTAGATTCATCACATTCATGAGTATATACCTCAATGAAGCTAGAAATGTCATATTTTGCAATCAAAATGATATCATTTAAAATGAATTTAGCAATTTATAGTTTTGAACTATAGTATATTAACGATATTTTAGGTATACAATACAATGTTACTGCTGGTCATTCGCTATAATTTTGAGCTAAAATTCGAAAAATTGATCTCAAATGAGTATAGGGGATCAAGTTGATTGTTTATAAATCAAACAACTTATTGGTTGAATATTATATTTTATCATTATTAATAAATCCTTTTACAAATTCGTGTACAAGTTAGCAATGTGTTGGGTTTTTTTTAGGTAAACCTATGCGCGTAATATTTGGCTATAAAAAGAACAACACATAGCAGCTAATAATATTGTTTTCACTTAGATCATCATTAGTATTTGCTTTAATACACAGGATATTTCTATGCATAAATGAAAAATACTAAACCAGTCAAAGTAATTTATCAGTCAATGATAACAATAAAATAGATTATAAGCAAAGATGGATAGTGGCTAGCAGTGGAATTCAGGACGCGCGTTTCGACCTATTTTGGACTCGTCAGCTGCATCTCAGAGTTGATGTTCACTCTGGGACTCGAACCCCGTATCTTTCACTTCAAACGTGAATTAAGGTTATATCGAGGCAATACACACAGTATGCACATATCGCCAGTAAGAGACTGACCAGTTACAGTGCATAGAATCAATAGGAAGATATAAACAAACGATACTAAGTAAATAAAATAGATTGTACAGTTAATAATAATAATAAGTAAAATGTACAAACTGGTAATAGGAAGACTTATATAGTCAATTATACGTTTGGAATAGGCATTCTTAAATAATTCCTTAAGTGAATGTTACATATTAAGAAAGAATAACTTGGATTTAGTTGGGAAAGATATTTTCAGACAGATATGTTTATAAACAGCTTTTTAATATTACTATGTTATTAATATGGGATGTACACATTACTTCTAAAGCATATAATTTGAAAAGTGAACATTGTCCTTAACAAATGTCTCAAATTCTTCATTATTTCTTAAAAATACTGTCATGTAATGTGTATTAATTTATCAACGTCAGATGTTTATTCATTCATTTTATTGACTAAATTCGGCATTTAATTTTAGTTGGCTAGTTTGCTTATTGTTTAATGTTAAGCAAAATGGTGATATATAGATATATATATATGCCTTGGTATGGCCAAGGTAGGGGAGAGTCAGCCCTCTCCTGTAATGTTTTCTCATGGCAACGCGTATACAGCAACTGTCAGGGAAGTCCTACGTATTGCCTTCTCGTGGCATTACTGTTGCCTAAGAAATTGAGAATACGAAAAGCGAGTGTCTGACACTTTAACTGTGTTGGTGGATACAGAGGATCCATTTATAGAAGTTGGTAAACCCTGATTGCTAACCAATGTTGCACATGAGCTCCAGGATCCGGAAGCAATAAATGTCGTATGAATCAATTGCTAGTCAACGGTTACCATGGGACTACATCTCCTAACGTTGCTCCACTGCCTTGTGGATTATACCTTAAGGTCAATGGCTCCGTGTGTGATCTCCTAGGTAAACCACCTGCTTCTTTTTGGGCACACAGGCAGTATCACAGCTCACATATAAATCAAGTAACTTGTGTGACACATATGTATTCTGTGCCTCTTTGTACCAATATTTATGTGTTCAAATAAATAAATAAAATAAATAGAATGGATGTCATCACTAGAATGTGTCTAAATCATCGAATCCAATGTTACAACTGATGGAGTTAAGGCCTATAGGGTGAAATAGTCATCACTAACTACAATAGATGACCATCACGTTATATATCAAAATCAAATTAAATGACACCTTTTTTGTAGTGATACACATATATGTAAATAATCTAATTATTCAATAAATTCACTTTAAATAAGTAATCACGATTTTATCAACAAAAACAGTGGTCTAGTGGTTAAGCGCTTGCGCCCTATACTGATAGGTCATGAGTACGAATCTCGTGAGGCGGGATCGTGGATGCGGACTTCTGAGGAGGCCAGGTTTTCCATGGTGATCTAGCTTCAATTGAGTCATGATTTCAACCATAAAATTACTGAAATCTCCACAAAATTCCCTTTTGATAAAAAGCAAAAAGTAATATTACGATTCACTTCCTCAACTGATTTATAAATTTCACATTGTGTTCAATAGTAAACGTTTGTTTTTCTTATTACAAACACAGTCAATATGTATAAATTCAAAACAGAGGTTCATTGAAAAAAGTATACTGACAAAAATGCTTTCAAAATGGTGCAGTTACACCATTCTTTTTTGTTTGTTTGTTGATTTGATTAGATATCCTACCCTAATTTTATTGTCTAATTACTTTTGAGTTAGTTACACACTATATAAAAGTCCTCAATCTGAAATGTTTATGAATATTGATAAGAAGTCACATTCAACAATGCACCTTTGTAGTTAATAAATAAGAAAGCTTGGTAAAATCTTCTAATTTACCGAATTCAATCATCTGTTGTGCTAGAATGTTTATATATACTTACTTACATACTTACGCCTGTTACCCCTCGTCGAGGAGCATAGGCCGCTCACCAGCATTCTCCATCCAACCCTGTCCTGAGCCTTCCTTTCCAGTTCTTTCCAGTTCACATTCATCCTTTTCATTTCTGCTTCTATTTCCCGGCGTAGTGTGTTCTTCGGCCTTCCTCTTTTCCGTTTCCCTTCCGGATTCCAAGTTAGGGATTGAGTCGTGATGCACATTGGTGATTTCCTTAATGTATGTCCGATCCACTTCCAACGTCTTTTCCCAATTTCTTCTTCAGCTGGAAGCTGGTTTGTCCTCTCCCATAAAACGCTGTTGCTGATAGTATCCGGCCAATGGATGTTGAGTATTTTGCGTAGACAACTGTTTATAAATACTTGTACCTTCCTGATGATGGTCGTAGTAGTTCTCCACGTTTCAGCTCCATACAGTATAACTGACTGTCTTGACGTTCGTATTAAAGATTCTGACTTTGAAATTCATTGAGAGTTGTTTTGAGTTCGATATGTTCTTCAATTGTAGAAATGCTGCCCTTGCTTTGCCAATCCTCACCTTTACATCTGCATCCGATCCTCCTTGTTTATCAACGATGCTCCCCAGGTACTTGAATGTTTCCACCTCTTCCAGGGTTTCGCCATCAAGTGTGATTGGGTTGGTGTTCTCCGTGTTGCATTTGAGAATCTTGCTTTTTCCTTTGTGAATGTGGAGGCCTATCGATGCGGAGGCTGCTGCTACATTTGCTGTCTTCATCTGCATTTGGTCGTGTGTATGAGAGAGGAGGGCTTGGTCATCCGCGAAGTCATCTATTGGAAGGTCAGTGTGGGCTGCTTCGATGTTCGGTGGATTCAATGGGGCTGATCTATTCAGCAGTTCCTCGAAGTATTCTGTCCATCTTTTCCTCTGTTCTTGAATCTCAGTAATTATCTTTCCTTCTTTGTCCTTGACTGGTCTCTCTGGTTTGCTATATCTCCCTGCCAATTTCTTCGTTGTATCATATAGTTGTTTCATATTCCCTTCTCTTGCAGCTTTTTCCGCCGTCGTTGCTAGTTCTACCATGTATTTCTGCTTGTCGGCTTTAATGCTTTTCTTCACTTCCTTGTTTGCTTCTGCGTAGTCTGCTTGTGCTTTGACTTTCTCTGCTCGTGTTCGGCTGTTGTTAATTGCTAGTTTCTTGTTCTTCCTTTCTTGAATTTTGTCCAGGGTTCCCATAGGGATCCATTCCCTGTGATGATGCTTCTTAGGACCAAGAACCTCCTGACACGTTGAAGTTAGTTCTTCTTTTATCCCTTTCCAGTTGTCCTCCAAAGTGGTTTCTTGTTCTTTCAGTAGATCCTGTAGAGCTTGGAACCTGTTGTTGAGAGTTATCTTGAATTCATGGAGCTTGTCAATATCTCGAAGGAAGGCTGTATTGAACCTTTTAGTGCTGTTTGTTCAGTTGTCCAGTCTTTCTTTAGCTTCAATCTCATCTTGGCCACAACCAGGTGGTGATCTGAAGCTATGTCCGCTCCTCTCCGAGTTCTCACATTTTCCATTGATCTTCGGAATTTTTTGTTGATACATATGCGATCTATCTGGTTCTCTGTGGTTTGGTCCGGTGAGATCCATTTAGCTTTGTGTATGCGCTTGTGTGGGAATATTGTGCCACCTATAAGCAATTTGTTGAACGCACATAGGTTTGCAAGCCTCTCCCCATTTTCATTTCTCTCTCCTAATCCATGCCGTCCAATTACATCTTCATATCCTGTGTTGTCCACTCCAACTTTAGCATTTAGATCTCCCATCAGGATGGTGAGGTCCTTTCGTGAGCACTTCGCTATAATTGATTGAAGCCTTTCATAGAACTGATCTTTATCATCGTCGTTTCTATAATTGGTGGGTGCATAACATTGGATAACATTCATTGTGATCCCTTGCTTCTTTGTTCTGAATGATGCTTTGATTATCCTGAGTCCATGAGATTCCCATTCTACAAGTGAATTTCGTGCTTCTTTGAACAGCATTAGAGCAACTCCCTGAGTGTGTGGAGCATTTTGCCCTTCGTGACCGGAGTACAGCAGCATCTCTCCTGTACCTAGCCTTTGTTGTCCAGTTTGTGTCCAATGGGTTTCATCATGAGACGTCATAATTATTCTTTCAACTTCCATGGCAGAGTTTAAATGGTTTTAATTATTTTTTCTGGTTAGCGTTTTTTTAGCGAGTTAGCTTTCCTACGGGACGGGGTCGCTAACCCCATGCCCAACCCTCCTCCTTTACCCGGGCTTGGGACCGGCAGTAACTCTAGAAGAGCTACAAGCGGAGTTATGTTTATATATATATATATATATATACTACTGTTAAAAATCTATGAAATGCAGATATTACTGTGATTAATTTTCATTAAGTAGTATATTTTATTATTCACTTTCACTTATGATGAATTTCTTAAGTAATTCTTCAACTACTATCACATATTCATTTTAATCATTATAGAATTTATTATAACCTATCGTTAAATCTAGTTTAACTTTGATATGAGATAGATTATTGAATTATTGTATGAATGTTTACATGACTATCAACTGTACATGATTTGAATTCAGTTGTCAGACTAGAAACAGTTGTTATTCGAATCACTTATTTTTTCTCATATCATACCATTAGACCACAAAGAGTATAATACACCAATATTTACTAATATTTATAGTTGACTAGTGAAAATATGGAAGTTCATAACTTTAAATGCTATTGATAGATAATGAAGCGATTGATGTTAGACCACCATTGAAAACCTGGAAGCACGGGATGGCCGTTTTGTGCTATTGTGGGACTCTTCAACAGTGTACACCTACGATCCCGCTCGTGGGATTCGAACCCAGAGCCTTTTGTCTCGCGCGTGAACTTTTAACCTTTAGACCACTGAGCCGGCATCCAATTGTCTTAATGTCTAACCTCAGCCAATCTAAGAAACTGTGCGACCATCTTCGATTTTACTGAGGTAGGTACATGTCTCCACCTGACAGGGTTCATGAATTCAATCAAAAACATAATAATCTCCACAACCCCATACTGTTAACTGTAAATGTTGAGTGAATAATAAAAAAAATAAAGATAATTTAACAAAGAAAATTAGGCTTTTATTAACGTTATTCACTAGACCTTTACAAATGTATTTATCGTTCATTGTATCATGAAAAAGATGATTGAAAATATTCTTAAAGTATAGAAAGAATTACGTAATATATGTAATAATATAGGAATCAATTATAGATGGTAGATAATTGTCAACTTGAAGAAATGGTGACTATAGTATTGTATTATGTCATCAATTGTTTGTAGGTATAAATACTGAAATGAAGTGATGTAATAATTTAACGGCTAATGAAAAACTGTTATGATGAAAATATTTTATAAAAGCAAGATAGCTATTTAGTTGATATTTATAAAGGAGAAAATGAATTAAATTTGCAGTAATAGCTAATCAATATTTATGAAGAAATAGTGCAGTGGTAATGAAAGTAGATCACCAAGTATGTAAGCTAAGAATGGTGTTGTTACCATTGTAACTAAGAGATTGGACATGTCGCTCTAGTACATAAAAAGTAAGCTAGAATAGGCAGATTGTTGAAGACTCTATGATATATAGGTTCCTGATTTGTATTCCTTCGCTTTTATGGATTACTTTGAAGGAGGATTCTAGGGAAGAAACGTGAATAATTTTTGAAAGATATTTGATAGGTGAGCTAATAACTGACTCTGTTAATCCTCTAAAGAGCTAAGTAGGGAAATGATGGGAAAAGTGTCCCGAGAGTGCTCATTTTGTGCTGTGAATACAATTCGCGCTACAAGAATAAGTAAAAATATTAATCTCTATTAATATGGTCCAAACATGATGCCCACGCTTCACAAATTCACGGATCAAAACATGACTGAGAATTAAATCATTAGTCGAATTTGCAATAAGTATTTATTGTTACTATTTAGATTGCTCCTAAATTGAATCATAAATTATTTGAGTTCCACCACTTTATTTATCTTGCTGAAATAAGTGTACAATAATCGAGGTAGGCTTTCGTTATATTTCATCTATGTGGAATGTTATAAAAAAGAATCTACGCCCATCGTGGTTTCATCAGTTTCTTCTTTTCCGTCTTTTATTGGCTTCATCGTGGTATGATGCTATTTTTGATTAGGCTGTTGCAAGATACTGTCATATGAAAATCTGTTTATATTTGCGTTATAACTATCGGTTAATGCTTTAACAATGATGGATAGAAACAAATAAATATAAACTATTGTGTGATGAAATTAAATCAATTAACATAGTATGGATTCATTTATTCATCTATGAGTAATAATGTTAGTTTGAGGATAGGTGATACTACATAGTTTACAAAATCGACTTAGCTTGCTATTTTAAGTCTGTCTTTCGGTAATCAGGTTACAGATTCGGATTAGTTTGTATGTAGGTATCAAATTAAATTATTTAACCACTTGAATGTTCAGTTCTAATTTGATTCTATTCTATTAATATAATATATACAGTTTGCCCAAGTGAAATATAATTTCCAGCATTTCCATATTTTTAGCATTCAGAAGAAAACAAGTGTTTAGCAGCAGAATATTCGTAAAACGGCATGTTTCATTGATGAAAAATGATCTTATATGGGACAAATAAAGACAAACCGATAATTTGTTTGAGCTTCATTGAATACGCTCACGCTTTTGTTTCTAGGCTTTGTTTGGTATTTCAACTACTTTTTTTTCTTTCTCTCTCTCTCACTGTATATATATGATTACTCTGCTAATGTACAGCTCACCACAGTATGCATCTCTCTATATATATTTCTTACAGTTATTTATACGACTATGCTATATAATTCGTTTTGTAGAATATACGGAATGTAATTTGAGGTAGGATTTAGGGTGTGTATTTCACATTATTTTGGATTCATCTGTTGAACGAATCGGTCATATTTTAGTATTAATGTTCAAACCGGCACTCGGTCTCGGTACATCTCTTTTCAAATACTCAATATGTTATCTACTGAGCCACTGAATCAAAATAAATATTAGCCTTTTTCAATGGGTATGAATTTTAATTCATTTTGTAATGACATGGATCATACCGTTATTGATATTTCCGATACAATTATGAACTAAATATCTGATCTTAATTCAATCAAGAACATTACACAACAGGATAATAATTCAAAACACTCTAAATTGTACATAATTCTTACATTGATGTATCTTAAGTTAATGCATATTAGTTACCTCGAAATTGTGCTTATTTTTCTAGATAACATTAAAATCTTCATGCAAATATGGGTGAGTAAAATGTGAACAAGTAAAAACAGTCTACCAAAAAAAAACAACACCAACACACCCACACACTGATTTGAACACAAGCACAATTGTCTTGTTTTTTTTGTTTTTTTTAATGCACAATAAAATAACTAATTCAATTTTTTGCATTCTTATCTAATTTTATTTCTTGTTCGTTTATTTCTGGATAGCAACTAAATTTTTTTTCTGTGAAATCTTGCAATTTAAACAATCCACCTTCTTTTTTGTTTTTTTTTTGTTTTTAATGATTATTTATTTAAGAAAATTTAAATATGTTGTATATGGTGTGTTGAAATAAAAAATTCTTCTGTTAAGAAAAAATGTTTTCTTCCCATGTGTTTATATCTATATAATTAAAAAAATAGTGAAGTTATACCTACTTGAATTGAAACACAATGATATGTTAACGATTTCAGTAGTTAAGGAAAGATGGATAGTGGCCACCACATGGAATCCAGGACGCGCGTTTCGTCCTATTTGGGACTCATCAGCTGGATGGATCTGCATCACAGAGTTGATGTTCACTCTGAGACACCACTGCGTTATCCACTCGGCCACTGAGTCCTGATAGCCACTTGCTTGTGCGATGGGGTGAAGTTTAAAATCATTTAGTATTGTTTGTTTGACTCTTCCTATCGATGTGTTAGGACTTTAACTGATCAGTCTCTAATTGGCAAACTGCTACTCACTATCCATCTTTGCTTATCATGCTTGTGAATTAAGGCTATATGGAGGCAATAAGCACAGTATGCACATATGCCAATTAGAGACTGATCAGTTGCAGTCTTAACACATCGATGGGAAGATTCAAACAAACAATACTAAATGAATTTACATTTCATTAGTTGCTTATAATTACTTATCCATTAATTTGTATGCAAGAATTTAGTTCCTAAGATTGTGAATGAAATGTATTGTTACATGGATCATTCAGTGTTGAAAGATACTAAAGTTAAACCATCTGTAAATTATTTGGTATTTGATAACATGCATTAAATTTAATGGTTTTGTTTCATAGAGATAATTTAAACTAATCTAATCATTGAATACAACTTTAACTAGACAGTACAGGTTTTTATGCTAAATCATTAAGTATTTTGTAAACCAAGTGAAATGGGTCTAAAAATGGGATAGATATGAAAGGGATAGTTTGCTTTATGTGGGATTGGTCAACTGGATGTACTTAAATCCGGGTGTTGACATTCATATTGAAACTAGAACTTAGTATCTTTCGGTTCAAACCTCAGCGCTTTGTTCATAGAACTATTGAGTTCAGAAAGTCATCGACTTTTTAAACGGGTGTTAGTTTTATATTAAGACGTAGTTCTATTTAACAATAATGAGTTACTACTTGAGATATATAGATCTATTTTAGGAGTTTTCATCAGTTATCAATAGGGAATGATTTTAATGTCAGATGTATATTTCTATTCCATTGTTAGTAAGTGAATATGCTTCAAGCTATATTATTATAGTTGTTTAATGTAATTACACAGCCAGTATATGACCACATTTATTACCTTCTTCAACATAAAATGATTGATATTGTAGGAGTTAGAGTAATGAAAATCTCCTATAAATAAATGTTACTACATTAAATAATCTGTTAATTGTTTATGGGTCATTAAATTCAGCTTTTAATAGTTCAGTTAGTTTGTATATAAAACTGTCAATAAATTTATTAGAGAACGTTGATTATTTTTGGTGGAGTTTTGTTCTCTGACGTGGCTGATTTGGTCTTGAAGCTTTTGCCGTTCTTCTGAACGATATCAGCACAAACACCAGGTAGAGGTTGACTATTTATTTGTATAACGTCTTACTGTTGACAAAATAAATACTTATGATTTGTCAGCTCATTCTTTTAGTTTATTAATATTACTGCATTTGTAACGTGGTTAATTTATAATTTTAAGGATCGTTTTTATTTAATGCTTATTAAAATTATTTATTCAGTATAATATATCTGCATGTAAGGTAAATATGAGGAGTTGTTAACTATAACTATGTAATTATATGATTTGGCTCCACTTAAAATTTTAATGCTTGTTAACAAGTCTATTTTGGTTGCTTGCATCAGTTATAGTAACGTTAATGGTAGGTATTTATTTTCTGTTCTGTTATGTAATTTTTTCGGTTTTCGTATTGCAGTTTCATACTCATTTTCGTCAAACGTGCGCATGCCTGTGCTTTTTATATTTAAAAATCATGCTACTTTATATTATCGTAAGTAGATAAATTTACAAATGAATTCTAAGGAAATATGGATAGTGGCTACCAGTGGAATCCGAGTTGATGCGCGTTTCGTCTTATTCGGGACTGGTCAGCTGCATATATCTCCATCTCAGAGTTGATCTGCATTTACTCTGGGACTAGAACCCAGTACCATTTGCTTTAAACGTCGTCGCGTTATCCATCTAGCCACTGAGTTCTGATAGCCCCATGCTTGCCATCGTAGGCATCGGTGGGAAGATTCAAGTAAACAATAACAATTGAATTTAAACTTCAACACATTGCGCAAGCGAATGGCTCTCAGGACTCAGTAGGTAGGTGGATGACGCTATGGCGTATGAAGCAAACGGTACTGGGTTCGAGTCACAGAGAGAAACCGTAATTATGAGATGCTGGTACATCCATCTGATCAGTTCCAAATTTGACGAAATGCACGTCCTCCATTCCACTGGTGGCCACGATCCATCTTTACTTATAATTCTTATGAATGAAGGCAATATCGAGGCAATACGAGCAGTATGCTCATATGCCAATAAGAGACTGATCAATTGCAGAGCTTAACATCAATTGGAAGATTCAACTAAACAATAAAAAGTGAATTACAAATGAATTATTTTGATTTTATCTTCCTGAATAATGATTTAATTCACGCAATCTGTTGAACAGTAAATAAATTAACACGTTTGCTATCTAAGAATTTATATTTAACATCTGTCTCAAATGTAAGACCGATAATGTAAAGGTTTTAGATAGAGGTAACTAGCCTTTATCAATCCTTTTTTTCAATCTGTCTGTATATGCACTTCCTAAATATTGATACTGAAAAGATTCCGCCTCCAATATCCCATCTTATCATCGTAATAGACTGCCAGCATTCGTGAAACGGGAACAACTCTATGATTTCGTCATAGCCGAGATATTTTTACTCCTAATTGGCAACAGCGATATGAATCGAATCATTTATAATTATTTACAAGGGAAAGTTTTATGAATATCGGGACTTACAATTAATTGATGCTGGAAGATAATACAACTAGTTAGCTGGTAATGTCACTTCCTTAGCCAATAAAAGAACATTTTACTAGAATACGTAACAAAACAAACGTGATTTGAAACCACATAAATTATAACATTCAATTATATAAAAAAAGTAAACGAACTACCAAATAACTTCACACTTTTAAAAGAATCCTACAATTTGTCCTTCATAACAATTTCAATCACTGGTGATCATTGGTAATAACTCGTTTAGTTTCCAATCATGATCTGAATATTTTCTTTTAAAAAGCTTTAAAGTTTAATTATTAAAAGTACAGTGAACTTATTGAAACTTGAAAGCATGATTTGGGTATCTATCAGAATCGTATGTCATTTAGTACCTTCGTTAGAGACTCGCACATACGGTTATGAATTAAAACATAGGAAGTCCTGAATTGAATGACTTCTTGAAATTGAATGATTTGGCTGTTAATAATTCATTGGTTTTCTAAAAGACATTAGTAACAGAATTTTTTAAATAAAAACATGAGGTATTGTAATTTCTTTACAGTTAACCAAGACTATTCACTTGTTATCACCATGTTTTTATCACTGCCTGTTTCATTTAAATAAGTGGAAAAAACACCAAAGAAATTAGCTATGGAGATACAAATTTTTAAAGCGGAAAATTTGCGCATAAATCACTTGCTGGTTAATAAATTATATTTCCAAACATTATCTGCGGATAAATTAGATCAAAGGACATCTTTATTAGCTGTCAAAATACTGTCCCTGATCAGTGTAAGTCCAATTCTACCAATTCATTAATTGAAAGATAGCTAATTATTTAAAGTCAATTCAACGAGATTCTCTAACAGGTATTTTATAATAAATGGGTACTACATTTTAATTTTATGATCAATGTGTACCACAATACTTCTTTTATTAAGTCATCTAATTCCATTGACTGTCAGTTATAGACAACATTTGTAAATTAGGAACAAACAGTAATTTGAATTAATATACTTTAATTTATTTAATTTTAACAAAATGACATCTAATGGGAAAACAATGA